TCTTCACAGAAGCAAAGCCCAAACCACACCCACTGCCCTGGAGTCCATTCTGACCCACAGCGCCCCTAGAGGACAGAGTGGAACTGCCCCAGGGGGTTTTCCAGGTTGTCAGTCTTCACAGAAGCTGCTTGCCTCATCTTTCTCCCACGGAGTGGCTGGTGGATTTGAACCACCAATGTTTGGGTTAGCAGCCAGATACCTTAGCCACTGCACCACTAGGGCTCCTGAACTAAAAGCAAGATCAATAGAAATGATTCAAACTGAAAAGAGTGGGATGGTTCCTGAGCCCCTGTGGGGTGATGCCCCCTGGCCTCCTCCCCCTCCCCAGGGTCTCACCTTGTGCCACAGGGCCTGCAAGCAGGATCTCCATAGGGCTGTGTGCTGCCATGCCAGGCACTCGTCCACACGGGCGCAGGCCCACAGGTCCTGGGAGTACCAGTGGTCCGGGACCTTATGCTTACAGGCCAGGCGCAGCAGGACAGCCATGCTGAGGGGGACATGCTGAGAGGGGAAGGGCACGGTGCTAGATGCTTCATATACAGTCCCTTCTGTAGTCTTCCTGGCTATCTGCCAAGGTGTTTTCCTCATTTCCAGACAAGAACACAAGGGTTGGGAAAGCGAGGGACTTGCCCCAGGGCCCACAGCCCTTACGGGGCACAGACGAGGGCTTTTCAGAGGCTGATGCCCAGGCTTGTCCTTCCACCAGGCAAGGTCCCATAGCACAGTGCCCTGCCAAGTTTCCAGAGAGAGTTTCTGGTCAGAGAACTAGAGAGAGTGTTCTAAAACCAACAAACAAACAAAGCCACATCAACCACTGCCACGCCTCAGAGCTGAGCCGTAAGGAAGTCCAGTGCTATCCTTGGAGGACTGGCTTTTCATTGAAGCTTTCTTGGCAGATCTTTGTTCTTTATGGCATTCATTCCACCAGGAAGAGCAGCTGTCTAAATCAAATGGGATGGATCATTCAGCTCCCTAAAGTAGCCTTCAGAGGTGCTACAGCATGGTCGGGTAACAACAAGACAAGGCCCATGGTTACGAGGGCAAACCTGGGGTTGGGATGGGGATGGGCCTGGGAGACGCTGTTGGTGTTAGGTGTCCTTGACCCCATGTACAACACAATGAAACGCCGCCCAGTCCTGCGCCAGCCTCACAATCCTTGTAATGCTTGAGCCCATCATTGCAGCCACTGTGTCAGTCCATCTCGTTGAGGGCCTTCCCCTTGTTCACTAGCCCTTCACTTCACCGAGCATGATGTCCTTCCCCAGGGAATAGTCCCTTCTGACAACATGGCCAAAGGAGGTGAGACCAAGTCTGGCCAACCTCACTTCTAAGGAGCGTTCTGGCTGCACTTCCTCCAGGACAGATCTGTTCATTCTGGCTGTCCATGACCCCTTCAGTATTTTTCACCAACACAACAACTCAAAGGCACCAACTCTTCTTCGGTCCTCCTTATTCATTGCTCTCATATATATATACGAGGTGATTGAAACCACCATGGCTTGAGGTAGGCATACCTTAGTCTTCAAGAAGACACCTTTGCTCTTCAGCACTCTAAAGAAGGCTTTTGCAGCAGATTTGCCCAATGCAATACATCATCTGATGTCTTGACTGCTGCTTCCATTGGTGTTGATTATGGGTCCAAGTAGAATGAAATCTTTGGCAACTTCAATCTTTTCTCCACTTATCATGATGTCGTTTACTGGTCCAGTTGTGAGGAGTTTTGTTTTCTTTTATGTTGAGGCATGATCCATACTGAAGACTGAAGACACTGAGGGGTGAACTTGGGACTCTTGGAAAGCATTCAGCAACTTGTGGCATTTGGGGCTGGGCGCCCAACCCCAAAGGGCAGGAGGCTTCTGCGTCTGCCCCTGGCTCACAATCCCTACTACAAATTCTATACCCAGCTCTCACTCAATGACTTGGTCATCTTTGCAGCAGGCCCTGGGATGCCTCTTCGGTCCCAGCTAATGATTCTAACCTCCCAGTGAAGGCCACAGAGCTCCTGGGGTGAGGCAAGACAGTGGCACCGAGCTTGCCCTGCTGCACCCACAACTGCTGAGTATGAACAGATGCAAGGACTCAGGACATTAGGGCACCAGGAGGAGACATGGAAGTGGCAGCATGTCACAGGGGTTCACTGGGGTACACCCACTTTGAGATTTTAGGGGAGACAAACTCTAAAGCACAAACCCCAAGTTCTCCTTGGAGCCATGCAGGTTACAAAGGACAGAACCAGGACACGATTGGCCCTTCCTTGAACCTTTTGGGGACCTGCTGTGGTGTGAAATGTCCATATGTTTGGTGGTTCTCTCTCTCTCTCCTTTTTTAAAATTTTTTATTGTGATTTGAGTGAAAGTTGACAGAGCAAATTTGTTTTCCACACAGCAGTTCATACACATTTTGCTTCATGGCATTGACTGCAATTCCCTGCGATGTAACAGCTCTCTTCCCACTTCCTCCCCATAGTTACCTCTTCCCTGTGTCTTTCCCTCCCATGCACTCCTGCCCCCCAAGCTGTCTCCCTGTGCAAACACTGGCTTTCTGTTCTTCCATGATTGATCGCTCCAGAGAGTGTATCTACCTGATGTAAATGTTCAGCCCATATGCCTATCTATTGTTTGGCTGGAAGCCACAGGAGTGAGTTCAGTTCCAGACTTGAAGTGGCCATAGTCTTGGGAGTCTCACCAGGCTCTATCAGACAAGTAAACCTCATGCTTCTTCTTCTTCTTCTTCTTTTTTTTTTAAATAACTTTGAGTTTTGTTCCACATTGTTCTCTCACTCTATCCAGGATCTCCTACACCAATCCTCTTTTGAGTGGTTGACAGTGGTAGCCGGGCACCATCTAGATCTTCTGGCCTCATGGTCATAGAGGCTGAGGTTCTCATGGTCCACTAGTCCCTTGGACTGATTGTTTCCATGTGTCTTTGGTTTTCTTTGTTTTTCTTGGCTCTGGACAAGGAGAGACCTGTCGTTGCATCTAGATGGCCACTTGCAAACTTTTCAGACCCCAGTCGCTCCTCTGTCTGGTGGTTCTCTTACAGTACATTTCTCCTACGTGTTATTGCCATGTTTGCTGGTCCCTACATCCCCTTATGCACCCCACCCTGGGCTGGGGACACAGCCCTGGCTTTGCCTTCAGGCTCTGTGGGAGCTGGGACCATTAGGTTTCTTGTCCCCCCCACCCCCAGTCGGAAAGGCTGCACCTGGGGATACTGCACCCGGAAACGGAGCCAGGGGACAGTCTACGCCCGCCTGGGCCATCTCGACCTAAGCTTGGTGAGAAGGCTGTCTGCCAATGTGGGCGTGGAGCTGCCCCCCTCCCCTGCCTGCCCTGTACCCCATGCCCTGGGGATACTTCCATCTATAACCAAAGACATTGGTACAGAAGTCAAGTCACAGGCTTGCTTTTCCAGGCATCCCTGTGAGTGGGAGCAGCGGGCAGGCAGGGCTTGAGTCCCAGCCCCTGCTATTTGACGCTGGGCAAAGGGCCCCCAAGGACTCCAGTTCTCTTGTCCATGATGTAAAAGGTGAAGGCCCGGACAGCTCAGGCAAGGCCTGACAGCAACCCAGGCGTCTTGGTTACCTCTCAGTCAAGGTGAAGTCTCCATCCTTCAAGGCTGGTACCTTCTTCAGGGGGTTCACCTGGGCAAAGGCACCGCTGAGGTGCTGGGCTGTCGGGAAGACCAGCATAGGGAAGCACTGAGCCCTCCGTGGCCTGGGCCCACTCCCGGCCATGCCCAGACCCCAATCTGTGGCTCCGTCCAGGCTCCAGGCCGCTCCCCACCCACACGGCAAAGCCTGGGCGGGACGCTGCAGGGGGGGTCCACTGCCCTTCCAGCTGGAGGGAGGTCGGCTGGAAGCCCTGCCAAGTCCGCCTCTCCCACACTGCCACCCCCTTCCAAAGAGCTCAGTGTGCAGGGCCGGACGTTCCAGCTAGCCTGGGGCCTGGCCCTGCCCTGGCCCTCCTCCCACCCCCACCCCCACTTCTGCACCCCCTTTTCTACCCCGCCAGCTTCATGAGCTCTCATTCAGAGTGCCCAAGCTACAGAGTACGGGGGCTGGTCACTCCAGTGGCACACCCCCTGCCAGATACTAGGGCCACCAGTCACAGAGAAGTAGCCTTTTCCTGCTCCTGCTGACTTGTGAGCACTCGGCTGGCAGGTCCAGTCCACCCAGAGGCACCTGGGAAGAAAGACCTGGCAAACCACTTCCGAAAAAACCAGCCACTGAAAACCCCGTGGAGCAGAGCTCTGCTTGGGCCCACGGCGGCTGCACCAATCCGAGGCGGCCCCATGGCAGCTGGTGGGCTATTTCGGTTTGTTCACTTGGAGCTTTACTGGGCTCTAGACTATGGTGCCTGAGTGTCGCTGTGAGGCTGGAGGCTGTGCCAGCAGTATTTCAAATACCGGCAGGGTGACTCATGGTGGACAGGCTCCAGCCGAGCTTCCAGACTGAGACAGACTAGGAAGAAGGAAGGGGCCATCCACTTCTCAAACAACTGGCCAGTGAAAACCTTATGAATAGCAGTGCAACAGTGTCTGTTGTATGAACGGACAACTTAATGAATAGCCCTGACACACTGCCAGAAGATGAGCCCCTCAGGTCAGAAGGCACTGAAAATACAATGGAAAAGAGCTGCCTCCTCAGAGCAGAGCCAGTCTTGATGTGGATGGAGCAAAGCTTTTGAAAGGAACTCCTAATGCTGGTGTGGCACAACTCAAAAGGGGAAGAAACAGCTGCAAACATCCATTGATAGTTGGAACATGGAATGTACGAAGCATGAATCTAGGAAAACTGGAAGTTGTCAAAAATGACATGGAACCCATAAAGATTGATATCCTAGGCATGAGTGAGCTGAAATGGACTGGTTTTGGCCATTTTGAATCAAACAACCCTATGATCTCCTATGCCAGGAATGACATATTGAAGAGGAATGACGTGCCATTCATCATCACAAAGAGTGTTTCAAGATCTGCCCTGAAGTACAATGCTGTCAGTGCTAGGATAATATCCATACTCCTACAAGGAAGACAAGTTAATACTACTATTATTCAAATTTATGCACGAACCACCAAAGCCAAAGATGAGGAAATTGAAGTTTTTACCAGCTTCTCCAGGCTGAAATTGACTGAACATGCAATCAAGATGTGCTGATGATCACTGGTGACTGGAATGCAAAAATTGGAAACAAAGAAGAGCCACCAGTGGTTGGAAAATATGGCCTTGGTGACAGAAATAACTCTGGCAATCGCATGACAGAATTTGGCAAGACCAACGACTTACTCATTGCAGATATCTTTTTTTGACAACATAAATGGCAGTTATACACGTGGACTTCACCACATGGAGTGCACAGCAATCAGATTGACTACATCTGTGGGAAGAGGTGATGGATAAGCTCAGTATCTTCAGCCAAAACCAGGCCAGGAGCTGGTTGTGGAACAGACTGCCAACTGCTCATATGCAAGTTCAACTTGAAGTTGAAGACAATTGAAACAAGCCCATGATAGCCAAAATACCATCTTGCTTATATCCCTCCTGAATTAAAGACCATCTAAAGAATAGATTTGATGCATAGAACACGAGTGACTGAAAACCAGAGGACTTGTGGGATGACATCAAGAACATCATCCATGAAGAAAGCAAAAACGTCATTAAAAAGACAGGATAGGAAGAAAAGACCAAAAGGGATGTCAGAAGAGACTCTGAAACTTGTTCTTGAATGGAGCGTAGCTAAAGCAAGTGGAAGAAATGACAAGATAAAATAGCTGAAAAGAACATTTCAAAGAGCAGCTTGAGCAGACAAAGTCAATTACTATAATGAAATGTGCAAAGACCTGGAGTTAGAAAACCAAAAGGGAAGAACACGTTCAGCATTTCT